CTCGGTTTAAAAAAATATATATATATACTTTTCAGAGATGAGGTCCTACCCTGTCACCCAGTACGATGATAGATCACTGCAGTCTCAAACTCCTGGCCTCAAGTGATCCTCCCACTTCAGCCTCCCGAGTAGCTGGGACCACAGGCATGTGCCATCACATCTGGCTCCAACTGTGTTTTTTGCCAGGGCCCTTCACCTGCCCTGGAGGCCGGCTCCCTGAAGTGAGGGAACGTGGGAGTTCCTCATCCATTAGGGCTGATCTGGGGACGTTTCTGTGCTGTAAGGGGTTTAGTACAGGCCTTTACATGCATTCATTTATGCCTCACCACATCCTGATGAAGTGGGTACTACTTTTATCCCTATTTCACAGATTAGGAAACTGAGGCCCAGAGAGGTGAATTAAGTTGCTCAAATGCCATACATCACCATCGTCATCTTCACCATGAATGTGCTCCTGGTTCTCTTCCAAGCAAGCTGTGTTTCCCAAGGCAAGTGCCCTCGCCTCTCTGGGCTTCTATTTCTCACCTCTAGGATGACAATCCCGAAGCGGCTGGCACACGGGCAGCGTGAGCGCCGCAGCCCTGGCGTTTGAAGTTCCCGAGGCGTCAGCCTGTGCAGGTGGGCGAGGAGGCGCGGCTCCTGCTCTGACCCATTTCTCAGGCTCCTCTCCCTTCCCACACCCTGTCTGAAATCCGCAGCTGTGCCGGCTCATCCCCACGCCAGCTCATCCCCTAAACCCCTCCGGCCAGCAGTTCCAGCAGACTGGAGGATGGGGAAAGAAGCCTGCACCCCGCCGGGCTGACCCTGGGTGATTATTTAGCTTGTGCAGATGTGATCTCCTCCCACACCAGCCTGCAGGAAGGGCTCTCCTCCTGTTTCACACTTGACAACGCTGAGCCCCAGGCAGTCTGCCCTTGGATTTGTCGCAGAGCTGGAGAAGGGCCCAAGTCCTAACTCCCAAGTCCTTTCTGCCCACCACACCCCCTGACACCCTCTCCCATCAGGCGCACTTGCACGGGTGTCATCGAGGGTCCTGCTCACAGTGCCAGCCACATGCCTGGGGGTCAGGAACACCGACTGATTGGATGAATGAATGAATGAATGAATGCACATCTGAAGGCCATACCGGAGTGTGGAGGCGATGGTGTGAGGAGTGAGGTGCAGAGGCTCGAGCCTCTTCTCAAAGGGCCGATGCCAGAGACCCCCAGGATCTGAACAGCTTTGCCTCTGGGAGGGTCTTCCTTTGTCTGTCATGAGGACATTCTCCCAGTCAACTTTGGCAAGAAGTGGGGGAAGAGGAGCTTGAGGGAGGAAGTCACTTCCATGGAAACCTCTAGAATCCCCCCAAGGACCGAGCCCACGGCACCCTCTCCTGCAGGACACTTGTCCAAACACTCTGATGTGCCTGTTTCTTTTTTTCCTTT